AAATGCCCAAAGCTGCCCAAAACCGGCCCAAACCAGACCCCAAACGGCCAAAAATGGCCCAAAACCACTCGAAAACGGCCCCAAACTACCCCAAAATGGCCCAAAACCACCCCAAAACCGTCCCAAACCAGCCCAAAACTGTCCAAAACGGCCCCAGATGTTTGGAAACAGGTAGAAACAGGCAGAAACGGTCTGAAAACACCAAAAAACGGGCAAAAAGGGCCAAGAAACGTGCAAAAAAGGGAAGAAATGGCAAAAAAAACCACCCAAAACCAGGTAGAAACGGACCCAAACCGCCCCAAATCGGGCAGAAACGGCCCAAAAATGGGCAGAAACGGCAAAAAAAAAAAAACAAAACAGGGCTGAAACAGCAAAAAAAAAACTTAAAACTTGCAAAAATGGGCAAAAAACACCCGAAAATGGACCGAAATGGCCAAAAACCACCCCAAAACGGCCAGAAACGGGCAGGAAACACCCAAAACCGGGTGGAAACTGCCCAAATTTGCCCCAAAACCACCCAAAATTGGGAAGAAATGGGAAAAAAACACTAAAAAACACCCCAAAATGGGCAGAAACGGAAACAATCGCCCCAAACCAGGCGAAAACGGCCCAAAACCACCCAAAAAAGGGCTGAAATGACCCCAAAACCCCCCAAACCGGTCAGAAACCACCCGAAATCACCCCAAAACGGTCCGAAACACCCACAAAATTACGCCGAAAGGGTCAGAAACGCCCCCGAACCCCCTCGAAACGGACAAAAATGCACCAAAATAACCCAAAACGGCAGAAACTGACCCAAAACTGGCCCCAAAACGGTCAAAAATGACGCCGAACCCCCCCAAAACAGTCAGAAACGCCACAAAACCACACCAAATTGAGCAAACACCCCAAAACCAGCCCAAAATGCCCAGAAAAGCCCCGAAATCACCAGAAAACCGGCGAGAAACTCCCCAAAACGGTCTGAAATGACCCAAAACCACCCCAAAACAGTCAGAAATGACCCAAAACCACACCAAAACGGTCAGAAATGACCCCAAAAAGGCCAGAAACGCCCCAAAACGACCTTCAATGGAGAGGGTGGGCACTAGGACCCTGCAGCGCCCATAGCCCTCAATGGAGAGGGTGGGCACTAGGACCCTGCAGCGTCCATACACCTCAAAACGCCCAAAAATACCCCTAAAACACCCCCAAAACGCCCCCAAAACGCCCCAAAACACCCCGAACCCCAGCAGAATTCCCTAAAGCAGCCAAAAACCCCCCAAAACACCCAAAACCGCCCTTAAAACAACCGAAACTCCCCCAAATTCCCCAGAAACACTCAAAAGTGCTTCTAAAACCCCCAAACGCCCCCAAAACGTCCAAAACGCCCCTAAATCGCCCAGAACGCAACCAAAATCACCTTCAAATCACCCAAAACCACCCCGAAAACACCCAAAACCGCCCCCCAATCACCTCCAGATCGCCCAAAACCACCCCGAAACCACCCCAAACACCCCAAAACGCTCCAGAAACATCACAAAACGCCACCAAAACACTTAAAACGCCTCTAAAACGACCCAAAACGCTGCAGAAACACCCAAAAACGCCCCTAAAATGCCCCCAAAACCCCTAAAACGCCTCTGAAACACCCAAAACCGCTGCAGAAACACCCAAAAACGCCCCTAAAACGCCTCTAAAACACATCAAAACGCTACAGAAACACCGAAAAACGCCCCTAAAACGCACCCAAAACACCTAAAACGCCCCTAAAACGCCCAAAACCGCTGCAGAAACACCCAAAAACGCCCTTAAAACGCCTCTAAAACGCCCCAAAACACCCCTAAAACACCCAAAACCGCTGCAGAAACACCCCAAAACGACCCTAAAACGCCCAAGAACGCTGCAGAAACACCAAAAAACGCCCCTGAAACACCCCCCAAACACCTAAAACGCCCCTAAAATGCCCCAGAACGCTGCAGAAACAGCCAAAACCGCCCCTAAAACGCCCCCAAAACACCTAAAACGCTTCTAAATCACCCCAAAACGCTACAGAAACACCTAAAAACGCCCCTAAAATGCCCCCAAAACACCTAAAACGCCCCCAAAACACCAAAAAAAGCCCCTAAAACGCCCAAAAACGCTGCAGAAACACCCCAAAAACGCCCCTCAAACTCCCCCAAAACACCTAAAACGCTTCTAAATCACCCCAAAACGCTACAGAAACACCTAAAAAGGCCCCTAAAATGCTCCCAAAACACCTAAAACGCCTCTAAAACACTTAAAACTCCCCTAAAACGCCCCTCAAACACCCAAAAACGCTGCAGAAAAACCCCAAAACGCCCCTAAAACGCCCCCAAAACACCTAAAACGCGTCTAAAACGCCCCAAAACGCTACAGAAACACCTAAAAACGCCCCTAAAATGCCCCCAAAACACCTAAACCGCCCCCAAATCACTTAAAACGCCCCTAAAACGCCCCTCAAACGCCCAAACACGCTGCAGAAACACCCCAAAATGCCCCTAAAATGCCCCCAAAACACCTAAAACGCCCCCTAAAACGGCTATAGGGGGACCATGGGGTGGCTATGGGGCTATAGGAGGGCTATGGGGTTATAGGGTGTCTATGGGGCTATAGGGGTCTATGGGGCTATTGGAGTCTATAGGGCTATAGGGGGGCTATAGTGGTCTATGGGGCTATAGTGGTCTATGGGGCTACTAGGGGCTATGTGGCTATAGGGGGGCTATGGGGCTATAGGTGTCTATAGGGCTATAGGGGTCTATGGGCCTATTGGGGTCTATGGGCCTATTGGGGTCTATGGGCCTACTGGGGGGCTATGGGGCTATAGGGGTCTGTGGGGCTATTGGGAGGCTATTGGGCTATAGGGATGCTATGGGGAGACTAGGGTCTATGGGGCTAAAGGGGGGCTATGGGGCTATAGGGGGGCTATGGGGCTATAGGTGTCTACATGGCTATAGGGGTCTATGGGCCTATTGGGGTCTATGGGGCTATAAGGGTCTATAGGGCTATAAGGGGTCTATGGGGCTATAGGGGGGCTATGGGGCTATAGGGGTAATGGGGCTGTAGGGGGGCTATGGGGCTATAGGTGTCTGTGGGGCTATAAAGGTTTATGGGGCTATTTGGGGGCTATAGGGCTCTAGGGGGTCTATGGGGCTATAGGGGGGCTATGGGGCTATTGGGGGGCTATGGGGCTATAGGGGTCTATGGGGCTATAAAGGTTTATGGGGCTATTTGGGGGCTATGGGGCTCTAGGGGGTCTATGGGGCTATAGGGGGGCTATGGGGCTATGAGGGTCTATGGTGCTATAGGAAGGCTATGGGGCTATTGGTGGTCTATGGGGCTATACGGGGTCTATGGGGCTATAGGGGGTCTATGGGGCTCTTTGGGGGCTATGGGGCTATAGGGGTCTATGTGGCTATAGAGGGCCTACGGGGCTACTGTGGGGTCTATGGGGCTATTGGGGGGCTATGGGGTGATGGATATTGGGCTCTGGGGATGGATATGGGGACATAGGGGGTGGATATGGAGCTATAGGGCTATGGGGGGTGGATATGGGGCTATGGGGGTGCTATAGGGCTATGGGGCGGGCTATAGGGCTATAGGAGGTACATATGGGGCTATAGGGGGTGGATATGGGGCTATAGGGGTGGATATGGGGCTATGGAGGTGGCTATAGGGCAATGGGGGGTGGATATGGGGCTATAGGGATGGATATGGGGCTATAGGGGGTGGTTATAGGGCTATGGGGGCGGATATGGGGCTATGGGGGGTGGATATGGGGCTATGGGGGGTGGATATGGGGCTATGGGGTGGGCTATGGGGTTATGGGGGGTGGATATGGGGCTATGGGGAGTGGATATGGGGCTATGGGGGTGGATATGGGGCTATAGGGGTGGATATGGGGCTATGGGGGTGGATATGGGGCTATAGGGGGTGGAGATGGGGCTATGGGGGGGCTATGGGGCTATGGGGTGTGAATATGGGGCTATAGGGGGTGGATATGGGGCTATGGGGGGTGGATATGGGGCTATGGGGGGCAGATATGGGGCTATGGGGCGGGCTATGGGGCTATGGGGGGCAGATATGGGGCTATGGGGGTGGATACGGGGCTATAGGGGGTGGATATGGGGCTATGGGGGGCGGATATGGGGCTATGGGGGTGGATATGGGGCTATGGGGGGCGGATATGGGGCTATAGGGGTGGATATGGGGCTATGGGGGGCGGATATGGGGCTATGGGGGCGGATATGGGGCTATGGGGGTGGATATGGGGCTATGGGGCGGGCTATAGGGCCATGGGGGGGCGGATATGGGGCTATGTGGGGTGCTTATGGGGCTATCATGGGGGTGCAATAACACCCTCCTATTGCCCCGCTCTGATTGGCTGCCAGTCACATCCCAGCGCTCCCATTGGCCAAAAGGCTTTTGATTGGCTACTTCCCCCCCCAGTCGCTGTGATTGGCTGACATCCCTTCCAGCCTCCTCATTGGCTGCCTGCTCCCCTTAGTCCCTCCCCCTCTCTCCCATTCCCCCCCCCCCATTGGCTGCCGGCTCATCGCCCCTTTGCAGGCCGCAGCCAATCAGAACGCGGCTCTGCCCCCATTCCCCCCCCCCCGCCTTCTCGGCTCTGATTGGCTGAGGGACGGGAGCGGCTCCGCCCCCATTGGGAGCCAGGGGGCGCCCTAAAGCCGCGGCTCGGCCAATGGGGAGGCTGCAAAGCCCCGGGTGACCCCGGGACCAACCAATGAGGAGAGGGGGAGGTTGGCGGCCAATGAGGAGCCAGGAGCGCAAAGGGGGGCAGTGGGGACAGCCAATGAGGAGCCAGTGGTGGCCAATGGGGGGTCAGCAGTGACCAATGAGGAGTCAGGAGCGCAAAGGGGGGCAGTGGTGGCAGCCAATGAGGAGCCAGGAGAGCAAAGGGGGGGTCAGCAGTGGCCAATGAGGAGCCAGGAGCACGCAGCAGGACAGCCAATGAGAAGCCAGGAGCGCAAAGGGGGGCTGCAATGGCAGCCAATGAGAAGCCAGTGGTGGCCAATGGGGGGTCCGCAGTGACCAATGAGGAGTCAGGAACACGCAGCAGGGCAGCCAATGAGGAGCCAGGATCACAAAGAGGGGCAGCAGTGGCAGCCAATGAGGAACCAGGAGCACAGAGGGGGGCTGCAATGGCAGCCAATGAGGAGCCAGTGGTGGCCAATGGGGGGTCAGCAGTGGCCAATGAGGAGCCAGGAGCACAAAGGGGGGCAGTGGGGATGGCCAATGAGGAGCCAGTGGTGGCCAATAGGGGGTCAGCAGTGGCCAATGAGGAGCCAGGAGCACAAAGGGGGCAGCGGTGGCAGCCAATGAGGAGCCAGTGGCAGCCAATGGGGGGTCAGCATTGGCCAATGAGGAGTCAGGAGCACGCAGCAGGGCAGCCAATGAGAAGCCAGGAGCGTGCATGGGGGCAGAGGTGGCAGCCAATGAGGAGCCAGGAGCACAAAGGGGGACAGTGGGGACAGCCAATGAGGAGCCAGTGGCAGCCAATGGGGGGTCAGCAGCGGCCAATGAGGAGCCAGGAGAGCAAAGGGGGGGTCAACAGCAGCCAATGAGGAGCAGGAGCACAAAGGGGGGCTGCAATGGCAGCCAATGAGGAGCCAGTGGTGGCCAATGGGGGGTCAGCTGTGACCAATGAGCAAGCGGCGGCGGCCATCTTGGATTCGGTGTCAGCCAATGAGAACTCAACGGCGGCCATCTTGGATTCATTCTCACCCAATGAGAGATCACCGGCGGCCATCGTTTTACCCCAAAATCGCCTCTTTTTAACCCAAAATCGCCTCTTTTTGACCCAAAATCGCCTCTTTTTAACCCAAAATCGCCTCTTTTTGACCCAAAATAGCCTCTTTTTAACCAAAAATCGCCACTTTTTAACCCAAAATCGCCACTTTTTAACCCAAAATCGCCTCTTTTTGACCCAAAATCGCCTCTTTTTAACCCAAAATCGCCTCTTTTTGATCCAAAATCGCCTCTTTTTAACCCAAAATGAGCCCCATCCTCCCCCTCCATAACAGAACCAATGAGGAATGACCCAAAATCGCCTCTTTTTGACCCAAAATCGCCTGTTTTTGACCCAAAATCTCCTCTTTTTAACCCCAAATCGCTTCTTTTTAACCCAAAATCGCCTCTTTTTGACCCAAAATTGCCTCTTTTTAACCCAAAATCGCCTCTTTTTGACCCCAAATCGCTTCTTTTTAACCCAAAATCACCACTTTTTGACCCAAAATCGCCTCTTTTTGACCCAAAATGAGCCCCATCCTCCCCCTCCATAACAGAACCAATGAGGAATGACCCAAAATCGCCTCTTTTTGACCCAAAATCGCCTTTTAACCCAAAATCGCCTCTTTTTAACCCCAAATCACCTCTTTTTGACCCAAAATCTCCTCTTTTTGACCCGAAAATGACCCGCCTCCCCCCTCCATAACAGAACCAATGAGGAATGACCCAAAATCGCCTCTTTTTAACCCAAAATCGCCTCTTTTTAACCAAAAATCGCCTCTTTTTGACCCAAAATGAGCCTCCTCCCCCCTCCATAACAGAACCAATGGGGAATGACCCAAAATCGCCTCTTTTTGACCCAAAATCGCCACTTTTTACCCAAAATCGCCTCTTTCTGACCCAAAATCGCCTCTTTTTGACCCAAAATCGCCTCTTTTTAACCCAAAATCGCCTCTTTCTGACCCAAAATCGCCTCTTTTTAACCCAAAATCGCCTCTTTCTGACCCAAAATCGCCTCTTTTTGACCCAAAGTCGCCTCTTTTTAACCCAAAATCGCCTCTTTCTGACCCAAAATCGCCTTTTTAACCCAGAATCGCCTCTTTTTGACCCAAAATCGCCTCTGTTTGACCCAAAATCGCCTCTTTTTAACCCAAAATCGCCTTTCTGACCCAAAATCGCCTCTTTTTAACCCAAAATCGCCTCTTTTTGACCCCAAATCGCCTCTGTTTGACCCAAAATCGCCTCTTTTTAACCCAAAATGAGCCCCCTCCCCCCTCCATAACAGAACCAATGAGGAATGACCCAAAATCACCTCTTTTTAACCCAAAATCACCTCTTTTTGACCCCAAATCGCCTCTTTTTAACCCAAAATCGCCACTTTTTAACCCAAAATCACCTCTTTTTGACCCAAAATCGCCTCTTTTTAACCCAAAATCGCCTCTTTATGACCCAAAATCGCCTCTTTTTGACCCAAAATCGCCTCTTTTTAACCCAAAATCGCCACTTTTTAACCCAAAATCGCCTCTTTTTGACCTTAGGAGGGCTCCTAAGGGGGGGGGGGGGGGTTGCCCCATAAAGGGGTCTTAAGGGGGGGTTCAGCCCCATACAGGGCCAATCGGTAGTGATTGATTGGGATTGATTGGGATCGATAGGGATCGATTGGGATTGATTGGGATTGATTGGGATCGATGGTGATTGGGATTGATTGGGATTGATTGGGAGCTATTGGGATTGATTGGGATCGATCGGGATTGATTGGGATCGATAGGGATCGATAGGGATTGGGATCGATACGGATTGATTGGGATTCTTTGGGATCGATAGGGATTGATTGGGATTGATTGGGATCGATAGGGATTGATTGGGATTGATTGGGATTGATTGGGATTGATTGGGATCGATAGGGATTGATTAGGATCGATTGGGATTGATAGGGATTGATTGGGATCGATAGGGATTGATTGGGATTGATTGGGATTGATTGGGATCGATCGGGATTGATTGGGATTGATTGGGATCGATCGGGATTGATTGGGATTGATTAGGATCGATTGGGATTGATAGGGATTGATTGAAATTGGGATTGATTTTGATCGGTAGGGATCGATAGGGATCGATAGGGATCGATTGGGATCGATAGGGATTGATTGGGATTGATTGGGATCGATAGGGATTGATTGGGATTGATTGGGATCGATTGGGATCGATTGGGATTGATTGGGATCGATAGGGATTGATTGGGATTGATTGGGATCGATCGGGATTGATTGGGATCGATATTGATTGGGAATGATAGGGTTTGATTGGGATCGATCGGGATTGATTGGGATTGATTGGGATTGATTGGGATCGATATTGATTGGTAGTGACAGGGATTGATTGGGATTGGTTGGGATGGATTTGGATTGATTGGGATCGATAGGGATTGATTGGGATCGATCGGGATTGATTGGGATCGAGAGATAGGGATTGATCAGGATTGGGATTGATAGTGGGATCAATCGGGATTGATTGGGATTGATTGATTGGGATCGATAGGGATTGGGATTGATTTGGATCAATAGGGATTGATTGGGATCGATAGGGATTGATTGGGATTGATTGGGATCGATAGGGATTGATTGGGATCGATAGGGATTGGGATTGATTGGGATCGATAGGGATTGATTGGGATTGATTGGGATTGATTGGGATTGATTGGGATCGATAGGGACTGATTGGGATTGATTGGGATTGATTGGGATTGATTGGGATCGATTGGGATCGATAGAGATTGAGATCGATTGGGATTGATAGGGATTGATTGGGATCGATAGGGATTGATTGGGATTGATTGAAATCGACAGGGATTGATTTTGATCGATAGGGATCGATAGGGATCGATTGGGATTGATTGGGATCGATTGGGATTGATTGGGATCGATAGGGATTGATTGGGATCGATTGGGATTGATTGGGATCGATCAGGATTGATTGGGATCGATAGGGATTGATTGGGATTGATTCGGATCGATAGGGATCGATAGGGATCGATTGGGATTGATAGGGATTGATTGGGATTGTTTGGGATCGATAGGGATCGATTGGGATTGATTGGGATCGATTGGGATTGATTGGGATTGATTGGGATCGATAGGGATTGATTTGGATCGATAGGGATTGATTGGGATTGATTGGGATCAATAGGGATCGATTGGGATTGATTGGGATGATTGGGATCGATAGGGATTGATAGGGATTGATTGGGATCGATAGAGGATTGATTGGGATCGATAGGGATCAATAGGGATTGATTGGGATCGATAGGGATTGATTTGGATCGATAGGGATTGATTGGGATCGATTGGGATTGATTGGGATTGATTGGGATTGAGTGGGATCGATAGGGATTGATTGGGATCGATTGGGATTGATTGGGATTGATTGGTATAGATAGGGATTGTTCAGGATTGATAGCGATTGATTGTTATTGATTGGGATTGATAGGGCTTGATAATGATCGATAACGATTGGCAGTGATTGATAGGAAATGATAATGATTGGCGGTTATTGATCGGGATTGGCAATGATTGATTGGATGTGATCGATCAGCAGTGACCGATCGGCAGTGATTGATCAGCTGTGATTGATCGGCAGTGATCGATCAGCAGTGATCGATCGGCATTGATTGATCAGCAGTGATTGATTGGCAGTGATCAATCGGCAGTGATTGATCAGCAGTGATTGATCGGCAGTGATCGAACGCCAGTGATCGATCGCCAGTGATCGATCGGCAGTGATTGATCGGCAGTGATCGATCGGCAATGATTGATCGGCAGTGATTGATCGGCAGTGATCGATTGGCAGTGATTGATCGGCAGTGATCGATCGGCAATGATTGATCGGCAGTGATCGATCGGCAGTGATTGATGGGTATTGATGGGTATTGATGGGTATTGATGGCTATTGATGGCTATTGATGGCTTATTGATGGGCATTGATGGGTATTGATGGGCATTGATGGCTATTGATGGCTATTGATTGGCATTGATGGGTATTGATCAGCATTGATGGGTATTAATGGATATTGATAGATATCGGTGGACGTTATTGATGGATGTTGATGGATATCGATGGATATTAATCGGTATCGATGGACATTGATGGATATCAATGGATATCGATGGGCATTATTGATGAATACTGATGGCTATTGATGGCTATTAATCGATATTGATGGATATTGATGGATATCAATGGACATTATTGATGAATATTGATGGATATCGATGGATATCGATGGATATTAATTGATATTGATGGACATTGATGGATATCGATGGGCATTATTGATGAATATTGATGGATATTAATCGATATTGATGGACATTGATGAATATTGATGGATATCGATGGACATTATTGATGAATATTGTTGATATTGACGCATATTAATAGATATCGATCAACATCGATGGACATCGATGGACATTGATGGGTATTGATGGGTATTGATGGGCATTGATGGGCATTGATGGCTATTGATGGGCATTGATGGGTATTGATGGCTATTGATGCGTATTGATCGTATTGATCGGTATTGATCGGTATTGATAGGCATTGCCTGTCCGTTTTGAGTAAAAAAAAGCCAATTCCTGCCCAGGCTTCGTCTCCCCTTCAAATGACCCCAAAATCCCATTAATTTCACCCAAACTGAGCCCTAGAGTGGTCCCCACACGGGAAGGGGGCTTTAGGACCGCGCTGTCCCCACTCCGCCTCCTGATTGGCTCGTCCGCCGCCTGTGGCACCCATAGAGCAAATCAGCGACGGAGGAGGGCGGGACTGCCGCGTCTTAAAGCGGCAATGGTGCGGATGGGGGGGTCGCAGCTTCTTAAAGCGGCACCGGGGTAGCGCCGTCGCGTCTTAAAGCGGCAATGACGGGTTGGAAGGGGTTTATTGAGAAAGGAAGGGGGGCCTGCGCATGCCTCTTAATTACAACCTCAATGGCAGCCGCGTTAATGAGCTAATTAATTGTTACACCGCTTAATTAACCGCTTTAAAGGGGGGGCCCGCATAGCATTGCCCCTTTAAGAGCGCGGCGTCTCCATGGCAACTCACCTCATTCCCTAACTGCGCATGCGTAGAGGCCGGGGAGGCGGGAACCGGGCCAAGATGGCGGCCGCGGGCTGAGGGGAGCGGAGCCGCTTCCGGTTCGTGTTAACGGGGTCAGGTTCGTGTTAACGGGGTCCGGTTCGTGTTGACGGGGTCAGGTTCGTGCTATCGGGGTCCAGTTCGTGTTATCGGGGTCCGGTTCGTGTTATGGGGGTCCGGTTCGTGTTAACGGGGTCCGGTTCGTGTTATGGGGGTCCGGTTCGTGTTAACGGGGTCCGGTTCATGTTATGGGGGTCCGGTTCGTGTTATGGGGGTCAGGTTCGTGTTATGGGGGTCAGGTTCGTGTTATGGGGGTCTGGTTCGTGTTATGGGGGTCCGGTTCGTGTTAACGGGGTCCGGTTCGTGTTATGGGGGTCCGGTTCGTGTTAACGGGGTCAGGTTCGTGTTATGGGGGTCCGGTTCGTGTTATGGGGGTCAGGTTCGTGTTATCGGGGTCAGGTTCGTGTTATGGGGGTCTGGTTCCTGTTATCGGGGTCCGGTTCGTGTTAACAGGGGTCCGGTTCGTGTTATCGGGGTCAGGTTCGTGTTATGGGGGTCCGATTCGTGTTAAGGGGGTCCGGTTCGTGTTAACGGGGTCCGGTTCGTGTTATGGGGGTCAGGTTCGTGTTAACGGGGTCCGGTTCGTGTTAAGGGGGTCCGGTTCGTGTTAACGGGGTCAGGTTTGTGTTATGGGGGTCCGGTTCGTGTTAACGGGGTCCGGTTCGTGTTATGGGGGTCAGGTTCGTGTTAACGGGGTCCGGTTCGTGTTAATGGGGTCCGGTTCGTGTTATGGGGGTCCGGTTCGTGTTAACGGGGTCCGGTTCGTGCTATGGGGGTCAGGTTCGTGTTAAGGGGGTGCGGTTCGTGCTATGGGGTCCGGTTCGTGCTAACGGGCTCCGGTTCTTGTTAAGGGGATCCGGTTCGTGTTATGGGGGTCCGGTTCGTGTTAACGGGGTCCGGTTCGTGTTAACGGGGTCCGGTTCGTGTTAAGGGGGTCCGGTTCGTGTTAACGGGGTCAGGTTCATGTTAACGGGGTCAGGTTCGTGTTAACGGGGTCCGGTTTGTGTTAATGGGGTCAGGTTCTTGTTAACGGGGTCCGGTTCGTGTTATGGGGGTCCGGTTCATGTTAACGGGGTCAGGTTCGCGTTATGGGGGTCTCTATGGGGTCTCTATGGGGTCTCTTTGCATCTCTATGGGGTCTCTATGGGGTTTCTATGGGTCGCTGTGGGTCTCTATGGGGTCTCTATGGGGTTGCTGTGGGTCTCTATGGGGTCTCTATGGGGCTTCTGTGGGGTCTGTATGGTTTTCTATGGGGTCTCTCTGGGTCTGTATGGGTTCTCTCTGGGTCTCTGTGGGTCTCTATGGGCTCCCTATGGGTCTCTGTCTTTATGGGGTCTCTATGGGGTACCTGTGGGGTCCCTATGGGGGCTCTCTGGGTCTCTCTGGGTCTCTGTGGGGTTCCTATGGGGTCTCTTTGGGTCTCTATGGGTCGCTATGGGTCTTTATGGGGTCTCTGTGGGGTCTCTATGGGGGCTCTCTGGGTCCCGATGGGTCTCTGTGGGGTTCCTATGGGGTGTCTATGGGTCTCTGTGGGTCCCCATGGGGTCTCCATGGGTCTCTATGGGTCCCCATGGGGTCTCTATGGGGTCCCTATGGGTCTCTATGGGGTCTCTATGGGTCCCTATGGGGTCCCCATGGGGTCTCTATGGGTCCCTATGGGTCTCTATGGGTCCCCATGGGGTCTCTATGGGTCCCTATGGGTCTCTATGGGTCCCTATGGGGTCCCTATGGGGTCTCCATGGGTCTCTGTGTGTCTCTATGGGTCCCCATGGGGTCTGCATGTGTCTCTATGCGTCTCTATGTGTCCCTATGGGGTCCCCATGGGGTCTCTATGGGTCCCTATGGGGTCTCTATGGGTCTCTATGCGGTCCCCATGAGGTCTCTATGGGTCCCCATGGGGTCTCTATGGGTCCCTATGGGGTCTCTATGGGGTCCCCATGGGGTCTCTATGGGTCCCTATGGGTCTCTATGGGGTCCCCATGGGGTCTCTATGGGTCCCTATGGGTCTCTATGGGGTCCCCATGGGGTCTCTATGGGTCCCTATGGGTCTCTATGGGTCCCCATGGGGTCTCTATGGGTCCCTATGGGTCTCTATGTGCTCCTCATGTCCCCCCCCCCCCTTCCCCCCCCAGCCCCATGGACGCTCCCCCCTCCCCCCTCCCCTCTTCCCCCCCTCCCCCCCTCCCCACCCCCCCACCCCCCCCTCCCCTTTCCTCTCCCCTCCCCCCCCCCACCCCCCCTCCCCCCTCTTCCCCCCCCCTTTCCCCTTCCCCTTCCCCCCCCCCTCCTCGCCCCCCAAGTGCTCTCGATGGGGCAGCCCCATGGGAGATCCCCTGCAGCGATGAGGAGGGGGAACCCCCCGGGGGGTGGCTGCCCCCCCCCGCCGACATCCGTCGCCTCTATGAGCTCTTAGCTGGGGGCGGGGCCGGATCCGGGCCACGCCCACCGCCCCTTTTGCTCCGCCTCCGGACACGCCCACGCCGCCAACCAACCCCGGACCCCCCCAGTGATGACGAGCAAGGGGTTGGGGGCCAGCCCCAGAGCGAGGGAGAAGAGGAGGAGAAGTGGGGTCCTATGGGGAGGGGTCTATGGGGGGTTAAAGGGGGTCTATGGGGGTCTATGGGGGGTTAAAGGGGGTCTATGGGGGTCTGTGGGGGGGCTATGGGGGGTTAAAGGGGGGTTTATGGGGGTCTATGGGGGGCTATGGGGGGGCTATGGGGGGTTAAAGGGGGGTTTATGGGGGTCTATGGGGGGCTATGGGGGGGCTATGGGGGGTTAAAGGGGGTCTATGGGGGGCTATGGGGGGTTAAAGGGGGGTTTATGGGGGTCTATGGGGGGTTAAAGGGGGTCTATGGGGGGTTAAAGGGGGGTTTATGGGGGTCTATGGGGGTTAAAGGGGGCTATGGGGGGTCAAAGGGGGTCTATAGGGGGCTATGGGGGGCTATGGGGGGTTAAAGGGGGGTTTATGGGGGGTCTGGGGGAGGCTATGGGGGTCTATGGGGGGTTAAAGGGGGGTTTATGGGGGGCTATGGGGGTCTATGGGGGGTTAAAGGGGGTCTATGGGGGGTTAAAGGGGGATTTATGGGGGTCTATAGGGCGTCTATGGGGGGTTAAAGGGGGTCTATGTGGGGTTAAAGGGGGGTTTATGGGGGTCTGGGGGGTTAAAGGGGGTCTATGGGGGGTTAAAGGGGGGTTTATGGGGGCTATAGGGGTGTCTGTGGGGGGCTATGGGGGGGTCTGTGAGGGGTTAAAGGGGGTCTATGGGGGTTGAAGGGGGTCTATGGGGAGCTATTGGGGTGTATGTGGGTCTATGGGGGGTCTGTGGGGGGCTATGGGGGGTTAAAGGGGGGTTTATGGGGGGCTATAGGGGTGTCTGTGGGGGTCTATGGGGGGCTATGGGGGTGTATGGTGGGTCTGGGGGAGGCTATGGGGTGGCTATGGGGGTCTATGGGGGGTTAAAGTGGGTCTATGGGGGGTTAAATGGGGGTTTAATTGGGGGCTATGGGGGTGTATGGGGGGTCTGGGGGAGGCTATGGGGTGGCTATGGGGGTTAAAGTGGGGTTTATGGGGGGCTATGGGGGGTCTGTGGGGGGTCTATGGGGGGTTAAAGGGGGTCTATGGGGGTTAAAGTGGGCTTTATGGGGGTCTATGGGGGTGTCTGTGGGGGGGTCTATGGGGGGCTATGGGGGGTTAAAGGGGGTCTATGGGGGTTAAAGGGGGCTTTATGGGGGTCTATGGGGAACTATGGGGGTCTATGGGGAGTCTGTGGGGGGCTATAGGGGGTCTATGGGGGTTGAAGGGGGTCTATGGGGAGCTATTGGGGTGTATGGGGGTCTATGGGGGTGTCTGTGGGGGGCTATGGGGGGTCTGTGGGGGGCTATAGGGGGTCTATGGGGGGCTATGGGGGTCTATGGGGGGTTAACGGGGGTGTATGGGGGGCTATGGGGGTGTATGGGGGGTCTGGGGGAGGCTATGGGGTGGCTATGGGGGTTAAAGGGGGGTTTATGGGGGGTCTGTGGGGGGTTAAAGGGGGTCTATGGGGGGTTAAAGGGGGCTTTATGGGGGTCTATGGGGAGCTATGGGGAGTCTGTGGGGGGTTAAAGGGGGTCTCTGGGGGTCTATGGGGGTTTCTGTGGGGTTCTATGGGGAGTCTGTGGGGGGTTAAAGGGGGTCTATGGGGGTCAATTGGGTGTTTATGGGGGTCTAGGGGAGGGCTATGGGGGTCTATGGGGGGTTTAATTGGGTCGGGGGGGTTTATGGGGGTCTGTGGGGAGCGTATGGGGGTCTATGGGTGATCTGTGGGGGGGTCTGGAGGGGGTCTAGGGGTGTCTATGGGGGGTTATGGAGGTCTATGGGGGGGTCTGTGGGGTCTGGGAGTGTCTAATGGGGTCTAAGGGGGTTTATTGGGGTCTAAGGGGGGGTTCAGGGGGCCCTATGGGGTGTCTATGGGGGGTTATGGAGGTCTATGGGGGGTCTATGGGGTCTGGGGGGGGTCTAATGGGGTCTAAGGGGGTTTATTGGGGTCTAAGGGGGGGTTCGGGGGGGCCTATGGGGTGTCTATGGGGGGTTATGGGGGGCTCATTTTGGGATCCTCCCCCCCCAGACCTCCCCCCCCCACTGAGTTCGACTTCGATGACGACCCCGCTCCCCCCAAACCGGCCCTCATCGACCGGCCCCGTGCCCCTGGTGAGTACCGAAACACCCCCAAAACACCCCAAAACCACCTAAAATCACCCCAAAATGGCCTAAAAACACCCCAAAACCGCCTAAAATCACCCCAGAATGGCCTAAAATCACCACGAAACCACCTAAAATCACCCGAAAATGGCCTAAAACCACCCCAAAACCACCTAAAATCACCCCCAAAACCATAAAAACAACCCCAAAACCGCCTAAAATCACCCCAAAATGGTCTAAAATAACCCCAAAACTGCCTAAAATCATCCAAAAACCGTGTAAAACCACCCGAAAAGTGCCTAAAATCACCCCCAAAAATGTAAAACCACCCCCAAACCGCCTAAAATCACCCAAAACTGTGTAAAACCACCCCAAAACTGCCTAAAATCACCCCAAAAAAGTAAAAGCACCCCAAAACCGCCTAAAACCACCCCAAAACCTTCTAAAATCCCCCAAAACTGCCTAAAATCACCCCAAAAACTGCCTAAAACCACCCCGAAACCGCCTAAAACCACCCCAAAACTGCCTAAAATCACCCCAAAAACACCTAAAACCACCCCAAAACTGCCTAAAATCACCCTAAAACCGCAAAAAATCACCCCAAAACCGCCTAAAACAACCCCAAAACCGCCTAAAATCACCCTTGAAACGCCTAAAACTGCCCTTGAAACTCCTATAAACACCCTTGAAACATCTAAAACCACCCTTGAAACGCCTAAAAACGCCCGCGAAACTTCCCCAAAACCGCCCCCAAAACGCCTAAAAACACCCTTGAAACGCCTCAAAAACGCCTAAAAAAGCCCCAAAACGCCTAAAAACGCCCCTGAAACGCCTAAAAACACCCTTGAAACGCCCCAAAAACGCCTAAAAAGGCCCTAAAACACCCATAAACGCCTCCAAAACGCCCCTGAAACACCCAAAAACGCCTCCAAAACGCCCCCGAAATGCCCAAAACCGCCATCGAAACACCTAAAAACGCCCCTAAACACCTAACAACGCCCCCGAAACGCCTAAAAATGCCCCCAAAACACCTAAAAATGCCCCCAAAACACCTAAAAACGCCCCTGAAACGCCTAAAAACACCCTTGAAATGCCCCAAAAATGCCTAAAAAAGCCCCAAAATGCCCAAAAACGCCCCGAAACGCCCCCGAAACGCCTAAAAGCGCCCCCGAAATCTGCCTGAAATGCCTAAAAATGCTCCCGTAACACCTAAAAACGCCCATAAAACGCCCGCGAAACGCCCGAAAACGTCTAAAAACATCCCCAAAATGCCTAAAAATGCCCCCGAAACGCCTAAAAACACCCTTGAAACGCCCCAAAAACGCCTAAAAAAGCCCTAAAACGCCCCTGAAACCCCTAAAACCACCCTTGAAACGCCCCAAAACGCCTAAAACCACCCTTGAAACGCCTAAAAACGCCCCTGAAACGCCTAAAAACACCCTTGAAATGCCTAAAAACACCCCCAAAATGCCTAAAACCACCTTTGAAACGCCCCAAAAATGCCTAAAAAAGCCCCGAAACGCCTAAAAACGCCCCCGAAACATCTAAAAACACCCCAAAAATGCCTAAAAATGCTCCCGAAACACCTAAAAACGCCCCTAAAACGCCCTAAACCACCCCTGAAACGCCTAAAAAAGCCCAAAAACGCCCCCGAAACACCTAAAAACGCCCCTGAAACGCCCCAAAAGACCCTTAAAATGCCCCAAAACCGCCTAAAAACACCTAAAAACGCCCCAAAACCGCGCTCGTCTCGCCCCGTAGGTGCCGTTCCGCGCGGTCGGAAGCGGGAGGCGCGTCTGGAGAAGGTGCTGTCGGACCTGCAGCGCCACCAGCGCCTGGAGGAGCAGATCCTGCGCACAGGCAGGGACCTCTTCCCCCCGGGGCCCGACGGAGAAACCCCCCCGAAGAGGGGGCCGGGGCTGCTCCTGCGGCAGCGCAAGTACTGAGAGACGAGAAACGGGGCAAAAAACGCCAAGAACGGCACAAAAAGGTGGAGAAACGGCCCTGAAACGGTCGAAAATGGCCAGAAACGGCCTTGAAACCGCCAAAAATTGCCCCAAGTGGCCCTGAAACTGTCAAAAATTGCCCCAAATGGTCCTGAAACAGTGAAAAATGACCCAAAACAGCCCCGAAACGGTCGAAAATGGCCCGAAACGGCCTTGAAACCGTCAAAAATTGCCCCAAGTGGCGCTGAAACTGACAAAAATGACCCAAAATAGCCCCGAAACAGTCGAAAATTGCCCGAAATGGCCCCGAAACGGTCGAAAATGAGCCAACACTACCCCGAAACAGTCGAAAATTCCTGAAACGGCCCTGAAACAGTCAAAAATGACCCGAAACAGCCCTGAAACCATCAAAAATTGCCCCAAGTGGCCCTCAAACTGTCAAAAATTGTCCCAAGGGGCCCTGAAACTGTCAAAAATTGCCCCAAGTGGCCCTGAAACTGTCAAAAATGGCCCAAAATAGCCCCGAAACAGTCGAAAATTGCCAGAAATGGCCCCGAAACGGTCAAAAATGAGCCAACACTACCCCGAAACAGTCGAAAATTCCTGAAACGGCCCTGAAACAGTCAAAAATGACCCGAAACAGCCCTGAAACCATCAAAAATTGCCCCAAGTGGCCCTCAAACTGTTAAAAATTGTCCCAAGTGGCCCTGAAACTGTCAAAAATGACCCAAACCAGCCCCGAAACAGTTGAAAATTGCCAGAAATGGCCCCAAAATGGTCGAAAATGAGCCAAAACTGCCCCGAAACAGTCGAAAATTGCCAGAAATGGCCCCGAAACGGTCGAAAATGAGCCAAAACTGCCCCGAAACAGTCAAAAATTCCTGAAACGGCCCTGAAACGGTCAAAAATTCCTGAAACGGCCCTGAAACAGTCAAAAATGACCTGAAACAGCCCTGAAACCATCAAAAATTGCCCCAAGTGGCCCTGAAACTGTCAAAAATGACCCGAAACAGCCCTAAAACGGTTGAAAATGGCCCGAAACGGCCTTGAAACCGCCAAAAATTGCCCCAAGTGGCCCTGAAACTGTCAAAAATTGCCCCAAGTGGCCCTGAAACTGTCAAAAATGGCCCAAAACAGCCCCAAAACAGTCGAAAATTGCCCGAAATGGTCCTGAAATGGTCGAAAATGAGCCAAAACCGCCCTGAAATGGTCAAAAATTCCTGAAACGGCCCTGAAACAGTCAAAAATGACCTGAAACAGCCCTGAAACCATAAAAAATTGCCCCAAGTGGCCTTGAAACTGTCAAAAATGACCCAAACCAGCCCGGAAACGGTCGAAAATGGCCCGAAACGGCCTTGAAACTGCCAAAAATTGCCCCAAGTGGCCCTGAAACTGTCAAAAATGGCCCCAAGTGGCCCTGAAACTGTCAAAAATGACCCAAAACAGCCCCGAAACAGTCGAAAATTGCCCGAAATGGCCCTGAAACTGTCAAAAATTGCCCCAAATGGTCCTGAAACAGTCAAAAATGACCCGAAACAACCCTGAAACGGTCGAAAATGACCCAGAACACCCCTGAAACAGTGGAAAATTGCCCGAAATGGCCCCAAAACGGTCGAAAATGAGCCAAAACTACCCTGAAACAGTCAAAAATGACCCGAAACAGCCCTGAAACTATCAAAAATTGCCCCAAGTGGCCCTGAAACTGTCAAAAATGACCCAAAACAGCCCCGAAACGGTCGAAAATGGCCCGAAACGGCCTTGAAACCATCAAAAATTGCCCCAAGTGGCCCTGAAACTGTCAAAAATAGCCCCAAGTGGCCCTGAAACAGTCAAAAATGGCCTGAAATGGCCCCCAAATGGTCAAAAGTTGCCCCAAACAGCCCTGAAACGGTCAAAAATGGCCCAAAACGGCCTTGAAACCGTCAAAAATTGCCCCAGGTGGCCCTGAAACTGTCAAAAATGACCCAAAATAGCCCCGAAACAGTCAAAAATTGCCCGAAATGGCCCCGAAACGGTCGAAAATTGCCCAAAATGGCCCTGAAATGGTCAAAAATGGCCTCAAATGGCCCTGAAACAGTCAAAAATGACCTGAAACAGCCGTGAAACAGTCAAAAATGGCCCAGAACAGCCCTGAAACAGTCGAAAATGGCCAGAAACGGCCCCAAAATGGTCGAAAATTGCCCAAAATGGCCCTGAAACAGTCAAAAATGACCTGAAACAGCCCCATAACAGTCAGAAATGACCCGAAACAGTCGAAAATGGTCAGAAATGGCCCCAAAAAGGTCAAAAATTGCCCAAAACGGCCCCCGAATGGCAAAAAATGATCCAAACCAGCAAAAAATGCAGAGAAACGGCCCCAAAACGCCTGGAAACGGCCCCGAAATGAGAGAAATCAGCCCCAAAACGCCTGGAAACAGCTCAAAAACACCTAAAGGCAGCCAAAAATGCTTGAAAACGCCCCCAAAATGCCTGGAAACTGCCCCAAAACGCCTGGAAACAGCTCAAAAACGCCTGGAAACAGCCCCAAAATGCTTGAAAACTGCCCAAAAACGCATGGAAACTGCCCCAAAATGGCCCTAAAATGCCTGGAAACAGCCCAAAAACACCTGGAAACAGCCCAAAACGCTTGAAAACGGCCCAAAAACGCCTGGAAACTGCCCCAAAACGCCTGGAAACAGCTCAAAAACGCCTGGAAACAGCCCCAAAATGCTTGAAAACAGCCCCAAAACGCCTGGAAACTGTCCCAAAATGGCCCTAAAATGCCTGGAAACAGCTCAAGAACACCTGGAAACAGCCCAAAACGCTTGAAAACGGCCCCAAAAACGCCTGGAAACGCTCCCAAAACGCCCGAAAGTGGCCCCAAAATGCGTGAAAACTGCCCCAAAACGGCCCCAAAACGCTTGAAAACGACCCCAAAACGCCTGGAAACGCTCCCGAAACGGCCCCGAAACGCCTGAAACCCGCCCAAAATGCCCCAAACCCAATAAAACTGGATCTTGCCGAGGGCGTTTTGGGGCCATTTCAGTGGATTTTGGTTAAGAGGGAGGGGGGAGCACCCGGGTTTGGGGGGGGGGGTTCAAGGGGGGTGGGGGGGCACAAAGGGACACCAAAACCCCCTTAAATTGCCCCAAAATCGCCTTGAATTGCCCCAAATCCCCTTAAATTACCCAAAACCGCCTTAAATTGCCCCAAAATCGCCTTAAATTGCCCCAAAATCACCTTAAATTACCCCCAAATCCCCTTAATTTGCCCCAAAATCCCCTTAAATTGCCCCAAATCGCCTTAAATTGCCCCAAAATCCCTTTACATTGCTCCAAAACCCCCTTAAATTGCCCCAAAACCGCCTTAAATTGCCCCAAACCCCCTCAAATTGCCCCCAAATCCCCTTAAATTACCCAAATTCCCCTTGAATTGCCCCAAAACCCCCTTAAATTGCCCCAAAACCCCCTTAAATTGCCCCAAAACCGCCTTAAATTGCCCCAAACCCCCTTAAATTGCCCCAAAATCCCCTTAAATTGCCACAAAACCCCCTTAAATTACCCAAAATTCCCTTAAATTGCCCCAAAACCTCCTTAAATTACCCAAAATTCCCTTAAATTACCCCAAAACCCCCTTAAATTGCCCCAAAATCGCCTTAAATTGCCCAAAATCCCCTTAAATTGCCCCAAAATCCCCTTAAATTGCCCAAAACACCCTTAAATTGCCCCAAAACCGCCTTAAATTGCCCCAAAACCCCCTTAAATTCCCCCCAAATCCCCTTAAATTACCCAAAATGGGCTTAAATTGCCCCAAAATCCCCTTAAATTGCCCAAAACCCCCTTAAATTACCCCCAAATCCCCTTAAATTACCCAAAACCCCCTTAAATCACCCCAAATCCTCTTAAATTAACCAAAATCCCCTTAAATTGCCCCAAAATCCCCTTAAATTACCCAAAACCCCCTTAAATTGCCCCAAAATCGCCTTAAATCACCCCAAATCCTCTTAAATTAACCAAAATCCCCTTAAATTGCCCCAAAACCGCCTTAAATTGCCCCAAAACCCCCTTAAATTACCCAAAACCGCCTTAAATTACCCAAAATCCCCTTAAATTGCCCCAAAACTGCCTTGAATTACCCAAAACCGACTTAAATTGCCCCAAAACCCCCTTAAATTGCAAAAATCCCCTCAAATTACCCCAAACCCCCTTAAATTGCCCCCAAATCCCCTTAAATTGCCCCAAAATCCCGTTAAATTACCCAAAACCGCCTTAAATTGCCCCAAAACCCCCTTAAATTACCCCCAAATCCCCTTAAATTACCCAAAAACCCCTTAAATTGCCCCCAAATCCTCTTAAATTACCCAAACCCCCCTTAAATTGCCCCAAAATCTCCTTAAATTGCCCCAAAATCCCCTTAAATTGCCCCAAAACCCCTTTAACCCCATTTAAGGCAA